CAATTCAATTCAATTCAAAATTGCTTTATTGGCATGACTGTAAATGATACAATATTGCCAAAGCTTAGTACACATGTACAAAAAGAAAAGAAAAAAAAATTATAATATATATTAAATTATATATTAATTATAAATATTAATATCTCTCTCTCTCGCGCTCTCTCTCTCTCTCTTTCTCTCTCTTTCTCTCTCGCTCTCTCTCTCTCTCGCGCTCTCTCTCTCTCTCTCTCTCTCTCTCTCTCTCTCTCTCTCTAACACTCCAAAGAGAAAGGAAAACTTGAAATCGCATCATATGACCCCTTTAAAAGTCAAAAGAAAAATGTTTTTAGTAGCTTATGAAATTGATTATAGTAGAGCTAATGCGCAAACTGTGCAAATCATTCTCAATGTTTTGTTTATGTAAAAAACCCCATAAATCTACAGAATTTCTTGCATTTTAAATTCAGCAGCAATGCATTTTATAGTTGTTTGACACTTCAGTACTGTTGCTTACAGACTGTTTACTTGCATAGCAGTTTTCATATCTTTTTACATGATTTCTTTATTTATTTATTGTTTGTTTGTTTGATCGAGTTATTTGTTTATAACCAACTCAATAATAATAATAACAGTTATTATTATTATTATTATTATTATTATTCCATTGCAAAAGAACAGAGTACAAGTATATGCTCCTTAATGAACAGTGTACCTATAACCAACTCTGGTTTTATTTATTTATTTATTTACTTACTTATTTGCATATTTATTTGTTTATTTATTTGATTTTTATTACTATTATTATTATCATCATCTTCAAGTTGAGTTGGCAATAGTCGCCACATTGGCTTGATTGATTGTTTGTTTTATCATCCTCAAGTTGAGTTGGTTTAGTCACCTTGTTATTTATTTATTTATTTATTTATTTATTTTATCATAATCAAGTTGAATCGGTTTAGTCACCATTTTATTTATTTATTTATTTATTTTCATTTATATCATCCTCAAGTTGAGTTGGCTATAGTCACCATGTTATTTATTTATTTAATTTTTAAAATTTATTTTATCATCATCAAGTTGTTACAACATGCACTTTGTACTCTGCAATTGTACTATATACTATCATCATGCTTTGACTGAAAAAGGCTGGCTTCACACATGCTTATTCTATCATGAGCCACAGGAGGCATCCTATTCCCAGAAAAAGAGCCCATTTTTTTCTACAGCACTACAAGCACAAAGACTGAACGGTTCACACCGAACGGTTCATCTCATTGGTGGAACTGACCGCTATTCAGTGATGCAGACAGTTGCCATAACAGTGTAAAGACTGTCAAAGGAATAGTTGAAAATAAAAATGTAACCCTATACTTTCAGGTTTATATAATAAGCTTTTCTTTTTTATTATTGTGCAGAGAAGTATCTGTATTTTTCACATCAGATTCACATATTGAAGCCAACAGAACTAGAAACAACGTGAATGGCAAGTGAACATGACTGTTCTCCACAAAGAATTATTTGAATTTAAATTTTTAAATAGACAAAACTGTGATGCTAATCATATTTTATGTACCTAAATTTAGATTACTAAAATGAGGACCAGTATTTCCCTTCATTTCCATCGAGAAGGGATTTTTCCCATACTCACCTGTGAGAGTAATACTGATTTATCATTTCAATTTCCAATGCGTTGTGCATCATTTCAGTAATGTTCAATGCATTAGTACAATATCAATTCAACAATAATAAGAGAAATCAAACATTTGAATTTTGGTGATATCTGCAGTACTTAGAAATAAATTGGCTGATATTGCTATATGCACTAGTAGACGTAGTTTCCACATGCAGTACAAAAACAGCATCAAAAACACAGCTTCACTAAGTGATGAAATTCCCACGTTCCCTTTTGATGGAGGATGTCTTAAAATGGCAACATAGAAATGTGTGGGTGGATAGATGCGTGGGCTAAAAATAGCGCAGCAGAAATCTCCATAAATATTCACGAATGGGGGGAAGAATCTGAGGCTACCTGCAGCTCTAAATATAGCGCTTCTGCTCGGATCCCTCGCACAGAGACGGGCTATTTATAGCAGCAGCTCTGCAGAAGCACCTTGCTCTGAGTGTGCACAGGGACCCATAGGAGACACAGCATTAAAGATGAGGGACGGAAGCAGAAACCAAGTGGAAGCGACAGCCTCTGCCCCAAGCACAGGTATTTTTAGAGATGGATACGGTGTCCCCTCACGCCAGAACGTACAGTAGTGGGACTTAAAGAGATGCGCTGTTGTTTATGTTTGTTTTCATCCATTCAGAAGAATGCTGCTCTCTCTCTCTCTCTTTCTCTCTGTCTATATGTCTCTCGCTCCTGTATGCGGTCACATGAATAGGGTGCACTGGGTTGATTATGTAAGACCGTGTTAGAGACATACGTCTTGTCCTCATGCAACATCTGTGAAAGCTGTGAATGAGGACATGCGATAGAGATGGAGATTGTACTTATTTTAGCTGGACGAGGACTATACCTTTCAAACAAACAAAAAATGTATTTTGCAGGGTGTTTTAGATCGGAGGTGGAAGGTAGAAGTTCAGAAAAACATTGTGTAAAAATAAATGTTATTATTAATAATTAATATTATTATTACATTTAAAAATGTATTTAATATAATAAATATCATTTAATGATTATTATTAATATATACTATTATATTACTATATATGAATATTAAAGGATAATTCTGATAAACATATTGTCTATTATTAAAATTCTTAAAAATAACAAGTACTATATATACATATGTGTGCGGTGTGAAATATATTTTTATATATGAAATTTGGCAAATTTGTACATTTATTATAATTGTAATTCATATTATATTTTAATAGACACTAATAAATAGTAAACAGTATTTATTTTTAATAATGATAATAATAATAATAATTATTATTATTATTATTATGAATATATGCTATTATATCACTATATATGAATTATATTAAATTATAATTCTAATAAATATGTTGTCTATTTATTATATTATTTTAATATATATAATTTTTTCTAGATGGCCAAATATTATGTTCAAAGCACCTTTTAGAAATATTTAATATGCTCAAATGTGACGATCATGCAGATAAAAAGGTTAATAAAGCATAATACATAACACAAATTTTTTTTTTGTAAAAGCTGAATATATGGTACATTTAGAACACATGATTGAACTTGAGCATAAACGGCAGTATTACGTGTTGAACTGGAAAACATAGGCTATAAATAGTGTTGTTTCCGTTATCGTTTTATTGTTATTAATTTATGCAATGCATTTCCTGATCTCCCAAATATAGAAAAAAAAAAAATTGGCCATTGACTTGCAGTGTTGTTCCACTCCTTCACATTAACGTAATAACACACTGTAGATGAATACATTAGCAGTGGATCATTGTCAAACAGACGGCACATCAGAGGCAGGACCATTGATTAATGAAATCACCATATATGGTGTATTTCAATTCTGTGCCAGTTTGATTGGGAATTGACTTTACCTGAGGAGGTTATTTTTAGGCCTCTCACATGCTTCCACGTCAATGAGTGGGGGCTATTTTTAGCTTTGCATTCCTGCATCACGTTGACCTTGAAGAACACGGCTCATTCAGAGCTTTGCTGCCTCTGTGTCTCAGGAGGTCTTACCCACTCCACAAAACCTGAATCTGTCACTGACATGGACAGATTGACTGCACTCAGACTGGCTTAGAGGAGGAAGAAATCTCAAATGCATTTCTCTCATTCACTGTCACCATGACAGACTTACTAGATCTGTGTGTGTGGAATGAGGTCGAATGCTGTTCTGCCAGTGTTGTTGTATACCGTGGCATTTAAAGGGATACTCCACCTAAAATGTAAAATTCATTTTATTTACTCACCCTTTGTTCTGCGGAACACAAAAGAAGACATTTGAAGAATGCTGGTAACCAAACAGTTTTGGTTCCCATTGACTTCCATTGTATGGTAAATAAATAAATACTACCAATATTACCAACATTCTTCAAAATATTTATCTTTTGTAGCACAGAAGAATCAGTCATACAGGTTTGGAATGATATGAGAGTGAATAAATGATGAGAGAGTTTGCATTTATCCAAAATATTGGATTAAACACATGGAATTAAATTTTTTTTTTTTTTTTTTTTTTAAATAAAAGGTTAAAAATATTTTATTAATATTATTTTAAAAAATGTTTGAAAAGTGATGTAAAATAACTGAAAATAATAAATATTCTACTTGATTTCTAGGTCTCTATACTCAAATAAGTATATTTATGACATTGTCATGTGACTTTTAACACAAAAGGTCAGATGTTTTTAGGATTTATATCAATGAGCATTAATTTAAAGGGATAGTGATATATTAAAGCAACAACTGAACCACCTCTTCAAGAGCATTTTTTAAGAGTGCATGTCACGTTGCGTTGCTGTGAATATAGAAATTATTTTTTTCCATTTTTGTTTCTTAAAGGGATCGTTCACCCAAAAATGAAAATTCTGTCATTAATTACTCACCCTCATGTCGTTCCAAACCCATAAAACCTTCGTTCATCTTCGGAACACAAATTAAGATATTTTTGATGAAATCTGAGAGCTCTTTGACCCTCCATATACAGCAACACAACTGAAATGTTCCCAGGTCCAGAAACGTAGCAAGGACTTAATATTTAAAAATATTTTGAAACTCCAAAAGAGCTGCAGAATTTCAGATAAAATATTTGTCCATGTGACATCAGGGGGTTCAACTGTAATTTTACGAAGCTACGAGAAAAATTACGACTTTATAACGACTTTATTCAACAATTCTTCTCCTCCTCATCCCATCTCATCCCATCCCATTGTTGAATAAAGTCGTTTTTTTGTTTTTGTTTTTTGTGCACAAAAAGTATTCTCGTAGCTTCGTATAATTTTGATTGAACCCCCGATGTCACATGGACGACCATTTTACCAATGTCCTTACTACGTTTCTGGACCTGTGAATATTTCAGTTGGGTCGCTGTCTGTGGAGGGTCTGAGAGCTCTCTGATTCCATCAAAAATATCTTAATTTGTGTTCCAAAGGTAAATAAAGGTCTTATGCTGATGATACACAGGGCAACTTTTTGAGCAATTTTGCCAGGCACCTTTTTTTGAGAAATGCTGCTTGGGCACTTTCCCACTGAGAATGCCCCGTGTATCATCAGCCTTACGGGTTTGGAACGACATGAGGGTGAGTAATTAATGACAGAATTTTTATTTTTGGGTGAACTATACCTTTAAATTATTTTTGACTTCATACATTTTTGTGTTGTGTTGTATTTTTTATTTTTTTTTAAACAAAGTAGTGTAGTTTTTTAATACTGGCTATTCATTAGTTTTCGGCTATAACATGCGTATATTTTAGCTTATCAGTATCATCCAGAATTTTTAGACTGGTGTATTCCTGTTGGATAACATGAGCGTCGGGTTTTATACAAATTTGTTGAGTTCATGCAGTTTGAGTGCACTTAACTTGTTATGCTGATATATTAGAATGTAATGTAAAAAATAAATATATATATATATATGTTCACTAGTGGTCTCATACTTTTGGACCCCACTGTATGTAAATGTGTCTCTTTTTCTTCAGTGATGTAGTGTCAGAGCTGCTGGCTTGGTATTAGTGAGGCACTGAAATGTATCCTGAGTTTGGAGTGATGGAGATCACAGAGACTGTGATATACTGCGTGTCTAGCTGTGTCATATTAACCCACAAGGCTAGTGCTTACATCTAGATTGACACAGGAAGAGAGTGTCTCGCTGCGCATTTGTGTGTAACCGTTTTTATCACGGTCTCAGTGACCTTGTGCACTAGTTCAGGTCAGGTCATTGACACAGGGTGTGTACTGAGCGTATAGAGACAGTTTATCTCACAGGGGTGTAAAAAATCATCCTAATGCAGCAAAACATCATAATAAAGTCTCCTCGGTGAATTGTGTGAACACTTTCTTTCTGTTTTTCTTTCCTCAGTTTTGATGTTGAGAATGGGCTGTCGGTGGGCCGCAGTCCTCTGGAGTCCCAGGCCAGTCCAGGCTCTGGCCTTGTGCTACAGGCCAATTTCCCTCACAGTCAGCGGCGGGAGTCCTTCCTGTATCGCTCCGATTCTGACTTTGACCTTTCACCCAAGGCCATGTCCCGAAACGCATCCACGGCCAGTGAGCTGTGAGTATCCCCCGTCTCATTTATCCCCTAATATAGCTCAGGAAATGTCAGCACTCTACATACTAAATGTATTTATGATGGCTTTTAATTCTTTAAACAAATGTCACTTTCTAAAATAACTTTATTTTTTTAAATATATATTTTTCATTTACACTACCTTTCAAAAGTTTTGTTGTTGTATGATTTTTTTAAATACATTTTTATATGCTTTTATTCAACAAGGATGCATTACATTGATAAAAAGTGCCAGTAAAGCCATTTATAATGTTACAAAATGATAAAATTTTAAATAAATGGTGTTCTTTTGAACTTCATCAAAGTATTCTGAAAAAATGTTATTACCGTTTCCACAAAAATATTAAGCAGCACAACTCTTTTCAACATTATTAATGATTAGAAATGTTTCTTGAGCACCAAATCATATTAGAATGATTTCTGAAGGATCATGTGACACTGAAGACTGGAGTAATGGCTGCTGAAAATTCAGCTTTGCATCACAGGAATAAGTTACATTTTAAAAATTAAGACAGAAAACTGTTATTTTATATTGTAATAATATTTCACATTATAATAGTTTTTACTGTGTTTTTGATCAAACAAATGCAGCCTTGCTGAGCATTAAGAGGCAAAATGTTTTGAATGGTCACCAGAAAAAAAAAAAAAAGTTTTCATGTTGTTTGAGTCACTGCAAGCTTCACGTGTTACAAGCTGCACAAGTGTGTTCTTGAGCTACAGTGTTTTTGTGGCTGGAAGAGTTCGGTTAATTAGGACTGTAAGCGTTTGCCTCATAGCAGATGTGGCTTACTCCAGCTGGTTGATTATGTCTGAAACACGGTTCTCCCAAGACACACTTTTTTAATAGTGTATTACATCAAATCATATTGCTCAGTCATTTTGGAAAATCCAAGGCGCGGGTTAAAAACTCCTTATTATTACCACTTCCAGCTGTTCTTTCCATCTGAGCACGCTTGCATGTCAGCTCTGGTTTGCCGGGATTTCAAGTCGGAAAAAAAGGGCACCACATTCTTGTTTTTTTGTTTTTTTCTGCAGTTTATTTTTCCAGCCTGCGTCAAAACTACTCGCTCAAATCGAAACACCTTAAGGCTGGTTTACACCACCCCAATAAACATCAACAGGGTGAACGCAACCACCTACAACTGCTGTTTGTTGGGTTGACGTGAACTAGTGTGCTTAATCGCAGGTCACCAACTCTTGCTTGTCTTTTCAAAGGGAAGAGAGTTTGAAGCACTGGGAAGTCAACTGGCTAAATCGGTGAGAAGATATAGAACAATATTGACCTGCCCTTAAAAGGGCTGTCCCCCATTACAGAATCCAGGCCGGTTCTCTCCCCTAGACCAGTCTAACCTCAGAGCTTCCCCTGTTTACTCTTCGCCACCATAAGCGTTACGCATGCCACCAAAGAGGCTTTGGAATATATGAATAAAGACGCAATTCCCAGCGTGTTCCCTAGTTCGGCTTCTGTCTCGCTGCTCCTAAAATACACGTGCATGACACACCCTATCCGAGCCCATCTGTGTTCTTATTACGTGTTTCCATAAGCTTTTAATGTAGGATATCTAATATCCCATTGGAGAATCTGAGGTACCTTCCTTATGCTGAGCTGTATTTCTTTATTTCCATCCAAACTGCATTTTAATCAAAAGCGTATTACCGCCCGCTTGCTCTTTTGAATGATGGTGTGCTGTAACCTGAAGCCGACCACATCCTTAAGTCTCCACACTTAAACTCTTAGTCATTCTTTTTCACTGATCCTTAAGTAATTTTATGTGCCTCCTTTTATTATTGGGAGATTAAAGAGCTGTCTTTTCCAATATGTAATTTTTGTGTTTGATTTGTGATTTGTTAATGTGTTTTTCTCTTACAGACATGGAGAAGACATGATAGTTACACCATTTGCACAGGTTAGTATTAGAGTGGGCCTTGAAAATGAAAGCTTACGTGGTTGATCTGACATTAATGGGCATTTATGGACTTTGCGTCATGTGGTTTCTCTGTTGAGGAACATGGTAGTTTGACTTTGCTCCTCCTATATTTTAAAGAGAGATTAATCTCCTAATATTTAGAAGTGTCTTTTTTTGTGTAAGTGGAGTGTGCTGCCTTTGGCATTGGCGGGAACAGCCCTTCCGCTCTTATGCAGCTTGCTTTACGTTGGATTTGCGTCACCACTGTACTCGGTTTACAAAACAGGCTAGGAATCCAATACCGCGTTTGTCGATATGGATGCTGACAGATGAGAAATCTGCATGGCTTTGGAAATCAGATACCCTTCATGTCCTTTTGAAACTCCAAAAGAGCTGCAGAATTTCAGACAAGCCAGACAAATCTTTATTTTTCTAGGTCACCTCTCTATGTAACATTTATTCTCTCTCGCTCACTGCAAAAATCATTTTATTAACCTGTGTTTTATCTTGTTTTGCAAAATGGGATAATATGTTAAGAATTTCAAATTGTTTCTTGCCGTTTACTGTAAGACATTCAATTTAGGTTTAGGTTTAAAATTTAGGTTTAAAACTATTCAGAAGATTTATATATATATATATATATATATATATATATATATATACAGTATCATATTATGCTGTTCTTTTGAACTTTCTTAAAATTGTTTACTAAATATTCTATATTCTATAAAACAATACAAATTCTACAAAAAAAATAATAGGGTAAGACTACATACTTAAAAAAGTGCTCTGAAAACATCTTACACAATTTAGCTTTATCTTAATCTTTTTTTAACGGTTTTGATATTTTGCTGGACAATAATAATACAATCAAAAACACTGATTTCTGAATACAGGAATTTTTGCAATACTAAAGTATTAAGCTGTAAGTGAGTTGAAGTTGCTTCAAAAAGAAAGAAAAGATGATGTGTTCTTGGCACGGACCTACATTATTGTTCTTCTCATAGGTCCTTGCCAGCTTAAGGACTGTGCGGAGCAACTTTGCTGTTTTGACCCATCAGCAAGACCGTGTCCCGAGCAAGTAAGGCCCAATAAACAGTGTAATGTCTGTTCAAATGCTTTTAAAGTCATGCTTGATCTCCACTGACACAAATCTCCACAGGAGGTCCACTGGAAGCAACCCACCATCCATGTGCAAGACAAGCCTTCCAGGTTAGACAACAAACTCTTGTAGAAAAGGATAACAGTACAAAGTTCATTTTTAATACATATGATGATGAACACATTTCTGTAGTCATGAATATAACAATGCTGTGCTGTATTTTGCAGAGGAGCCGTTTCAGAAGTTGGCAGTGGAGACTCTGGATGAGCTGGACTGGTGTCTCGAACAGCTCGAGACTCTCAAGACACGTCACTCAGTCAGTGAGATGGCATCTAACAAGGTAGATCTTCCAAAATAAAAGATGATTCATTACTGACAGGCCTCAAATATCCCGACTGTCACCCAGGGACTTGCCCTAAGTGCTAATAACCATCTAACACAATACATCAACGCTTGCTGATAACAGCACCCAAATACTCTACATGCCTCCGTATGAATTACACATGCGTCAGATGTCTATTTTAGATGGGAATAGGATTCATGCTTGTTCTGAATCGCTCCCATCCCCCGTCCGCATTGTGTGCTGAAAAATGTGAATGAGAGAGTGGAGTCATGGATGAATCTGCTTCCCCCACCCCGTCTATATCCCCTCATTCCTGCTGGGGATTTCATAGACTGTGACGTGTGATTATCCCACCCACACAGCGACCACGTGCATCACGGATACATACTCTCACACACATGCGCACATATGAACACATGGTCGAGTGTTTTCATTCTGGCTAACATCACTGATGTATCTGCTGTACGTTCAGGAATCACCCTGCACTGGTTGAGGCGAAAAATATAAAAACTGAGCATGCAAAAACCTTTTAGAGTATTGACGTTAAAATAAAAGTACTGCATTTTAGTGACATTCATTTTTTTTGTCGTCAAATTTGCAGTGCCATATTTTCATACAAGTTCGGGTAAGATGGGACAGTTTTTGAAACAAGCTAAATAGCTACATAATTAGAGACGACTTTAGTATACAGATGATGATGCATCATCCAGTATATTATCAAATGAAAATAAATGGAAACATTTGCTAATTTAGTTTTGAAAGCACATTGAAAATCATAAAATGAGCAAGATGACACCAGGGGCAAGAAAAAGATTTATGCAAATTTTGTCAAATATATATATTTTTAATTATTTTTTAAGTTGTCATTAATGTAAAATAATCAAATGTTCTATGTACATTTTGTCCTGATAAGTTAATGTTATGTTAAATAATTAGGATAATTGAAATGTACTTCCTTTCAAACGTTTGCTGTCAGTTAGATTTCCTAATGTTTTTGAAAGAAGTCTCTTATGCTAACCAAGGCTGCATTTGTTTGATTAAAAATGCAGTACATAAAGGTAAAATCGTGAAATATTATTAATTTAAAGTAACTGTTTTCTATTTTAATATATTTTAAAATGGAATTAATTCCTGTGACAGCAGCAGAATTTTCAGCAGCCATTACTCCAGTCGTCAGTGTCACATGATCCTTCCGAAATCATTTTAATGAACAATTTGATTTGGTGCTCAAGAAACATTTCTTATCGTTAACAATGTTGAAAACAGTCTTGCTGTTTAATACAAAAACATGATACTAGAACAATGTTTTTTAACATACAAATCTAAAAAAAAATGTATATGGATCAAAATTATGCATCATATATGATGCATTAGTGTGATATAAAACATTCAGAATATATAAAAATGCCTCACACTTGCTTGTTTTCCCTGCTCTGTGTCAGAGTGAGCATCTGTTTATTTCCCTCGCTCATTACAATGGAAAACACATCCACACACATGCGCGCAAAGCGTGAAGCGGCTCCTGAAGCTTTCATCTTCAAACCAAGTCCACATGGTGCAGCCCCAGCCCCCTGTATCCACCCCATACAGCCCCTGCATGTGCCCTGGAGCCGCGAGCCAATCGCATGCCTCCCCCT